GGTTTGCAAATAAATAAGTTATGGGTGAAAAACAGATTTCATACATTTAGCGTTAGCTAAGAATGCATAGCCTAACCATAGCTAGGAATCTGGTGGACAATTTACATCAATATCCACTACCTACTTCTTCAGGATCATCAACCAGCCCTTCAAAATCACTTAAATCATTCTTATAATGCACTACGTATATCACTACTTTTTATTTTTAACACTAAAACAATGATGAACGTAATAAAACACATCAGTCATCAATGCGAGGTTAACCAAGTTGTTTACAAATACGCACGTCATCCGTCTGCTACAATATTTTCGGAACTAAAATTAAAAGCATCTAGAAACAGACGTCAGGAGAAAGCTCAGAATCTGCCGAAAACAACGATACCAATCTTGATCCAGTTCAATCTGATTCAGTCAGTCCCAGAACCTTCAAAACGATGTTTGTGTGTTGCAAAAGCAACGCATAACACCACGGCGGGTGTGTTAAAGCACTCACTCGGAGGGTTAAAGCATTCACTTGTAACAAACTGCTAGATATAGAATCAATGTGAATAATTTACCGCACCTCTTTTAAAACACAAAAGTAAGTTAGGCTAAAAAATAAAATAATTAAAGAGAAATGTAAATAAACAAACTATCGTCAATTGCATAGACCAGCTGTTGTTCACTAGGCCTAATTTAATCGAATATCTTAAACTTCTAAAACATGTAAGGCGTAGCCCTATGAAAATCTGCCTATGGAGCTGAGCCCTAAGAGAATTCTTTCACATCAATACTTTTCGGCAAATCAACACACTCTGAGCTTCATTTTGATGTGCTATATGCCTATATTTTTATTTGATTAAGGCCATTTAACTTATCATTTACATAAGATTTGATTTTATCTCTTTAATATTATACAGGGTGTTTGTGAACTCTCTCGAAAAAATTCACAGGATTATTCCTTGGGTTAATACATGAATATTTTACATTATAAACATGGGTCGCCGGAGCCTCATTTTCCGTCTGTCTGTATGTGTTTTTTATAAATTACCTTATAACTCGAGTTTGAATCGAGGTACAAATTTTAAATTTGACCCACTTGTGTATTTTAACGTGGTACACAAACATGCAACATTTCATTTCCTTGACTATAGCCGTTTCAAAATGGCGGCCATCTACAATCTTTGACCTCAAATTACATGAAAACCACTAGAGTTACAAAAAAAACACAAGAATAACAAATTGTAGGAAATTTTATGCCAAATCAAATGGCACATAGATCTTAAAGATCGGACAACAAACAGCTGAGTTATTAATTTTTTAAATAATTAATAATTTCTTTACTGGCTTCTAATTGTTATTGTTTATTCATTAAAATCATCTGATACAGAGTACATTGACATAACCTTAAACCAGCGAGCACATAATAATAATAATGATAGAGAGGACACTGCGTTTAACCAAATGCACTGAAAGTGTGGCCAAATCCGCCATCTTGGTCCGTCATACAGCCTGAATCCAAGACCCGCGAGCTCAGTTCGCATTAAAAACCCCGCGACAAATACACGATCATTAAACAACATTAATAGTTGACAAAAAATTCTGAAATTTTGCACACTTGTAGATATGATACTGAGGAAAACGATGGTGTTAATATAAAATTATAAGTTATTATAGTAATTGAGTTATAAATATGTTTAATACTTATGTTGTTTAATTTTTCAGATTCAGACATGAAAAAGTTGTATTGCGAGGAAATTTTTTATTTTTTGGTCAGAGAAATTTCGTCAGCGGGAAAGTTGTGGATAAATAACCAAATTTAACTATCCGATTCACCAAAAATTTTTATCATGTTCGGTTTTCTAAAATACCCCCGCCGCAGCAAGCTGCTGACTAAGCGAATTTCCATTTGTCTGCTGAATTGATTTTCAGTTAAATAGGCCTATATTTTAATAACATTAGGTTTAACGAGTACCTAGGTTTGCTGCTACAAGGAAACTAATAAAGTGTGTTTTTGAGTAAAATATTGATAGCTTAGTACAAAATAAATAAATTTGCCAAGTTTGATCAAAATATATCCATAAACAAGCAAACTACAACATTTGACAATATTCTCCATAAGAATAACATGTGAATTTTAAATTTACAATTTTTTTAATTTTCTCCGTTACTAATAATCGAACAAAAATACTTTTATATACTAAATTATTTGTTTTTTTAAGCTCTTTAAAAAGGTCTAAAGAGAAATCGGGAAATTTTGTGTTTTGAGGGTCAAAAGTGAGAAAAACCAATTTTTACCCCATAAAACCCCCCCGTAAAGCCCCGTTCCCATGGTCCGATCGTGCTGGTTCGCGAACTCATTCAAGTTTATCTCGCTTTACACCTTTAAACCAAATTTCATCAAAATCGGACAAAAATTACTCAAGTTATCGCGTTCACGGACGTATATATATATATATATATATAAGTCTATATGGTGTATATATATATATATATATACATATATAAAAATTTGAACGAATAGTGTTTTTGGCCTCTGGGGACATCAAAATGAAAAAGTAAATCGGTCCCGGGTCTAGGTCTTACCGTGCCACCTACGGTAATAGCTACTTCCCTATAGGGAAATTCGCTAAAATCAGGTACAAAAGGGATCCATTGCCGCTGCTCCGCGCCACGCCCACTGCGCCGCCGGGCCGTCGTCTATACATTTAGGGTGCAGTGTTTTAATGTTTTATACTGTTGTACTGTAATATTGTATGTATTAAAGAAATTTTCAAATATATTGTCTATGAAGAATTTTCAACCGTTTAGCACAACTTTTTAAAGACTAATTAGCTTTCAATATCATCCAAGATAAACTAAAGATAATTCTGTAAGTTAAATTAAACTTCCCAAATATATTTGTAAAATTACACTCAATTTACTGTCCCAGAAAAATTACAGTTTTATTGAGATGTTGCCTGATTTTATTTTTGTGAAGGCTTTCGTTACTGATTTTACAGTAGTAGCGAACTAAACATTGAAATATTTTTGAGTAATAATTTTAATTAGGTACTAAACAAAAATGATTTTTGTCCATATTGTTTCATATCCTGAGAAATGTGTGTACTATTTGGAAACAAATTTACTCCTACACATTGTCAAAGTACTTTGTTCGTCAAGTCCTCAATTACATTGTTTTCCTTTACACTAATATCATTAACTTTATATCTACACTATTCTCATCAAACATAGCAGACGACTAGCGCGCTACACACGCCGGGACTACTGTCGGGGAAATAAATATGTGCTTGAGTTTGAGCCTAAATATCTCTTGAGATTAATTATTCGATTTTGTTAAGACAAAAATTAAATAAAAACTGGTTTAAATACATTTTACGGGGTAACAATTTAAAAAAAATCCGTTTACCAGAAAAATTTTTATAGTTGAAAGATTCTAAAAAGTACCAGTTTTTAAGAAACTCTGCACTAACACTGAAGTTTAAATCTTAATTGTAAACAAACCACTAAGCCAATCTTTCTGAAATTTGGATGGCTTATTGGTAGATTTATTGTTAACAGTTCCATGCATTTAAAAATTTTTACTCACGATAGTTTTTATGCTGATGTTTATTTTTAAAACGTATGCTAACATCGTTAATAAGACGCTAAAAATTTCGTTCAAAATATCATCTTGTTTGTCGTGACACAACAAATAACACCAATATGACAGATTAATAATGGTTAACAAAGGTTAAAAAGATATATATTTGTAAACAAAAATTTCTCCCGCAACTGGCAGGCCGATTGGCTCAGTGGTTTGTTTACAATTAAATTTTAAACTTTAGTGTTAGTGCAGAGTTTCTTAAAACCGGATACTTTTTAGGATCTTTCAACAATATAAATTTTTCTGGTAAACGGATTTTTTTTTTATTGTTACCACGTAAAATGTATTTAAACCAGCTTATATTTAATTTTTGTTTTAACAAAATTGGACTATTCATCTCTGAGATATTTAGGCTCAAACTCGAGTGCACATATTTATTTCCCCGACAGGTAGGCTAGCGCCGCCATCTTTGTCCGTTTTGCCGGCTAGTAAGACTGCCACGCTCCTGCGCTCCGAGTAGCGCTTCTATTTTGTTATGTGTTCGCTGCCTTAAACAGATCTCAATAGTTAAGGTAAAAATAAGTTAGGAAATGTTGTTGTTAGGGCAAACCAGCTGTCTTACATTGTTGTAACAATTTAGAAAGGATCAGATGATTTTAAAGAATAAACAATAACAATATTAAAAGCCAGTAAAGAAATTATTAATTATTTAAAAAATTAATAACTCAGCTGTTTGTTTTCCGATCTTTAAGATCTATGTGTCATTTGATTTGGCATAACATTTCCTACATTTTGTTATTCTTGTGTTTTTTTTGTAACTCTAGGCTAGCGGTTTTCATGTAATTTGAGGTCAAAGATTTTAGATGGCCACCATTTTGAAACGGCTATAGTCAAGGAAATGAAATTTTGCATGTTTGTGTACCACCTTAAAATACACAAGTGTGTTAATTTTAAAGTTTGTACCTCGATTCAAATTCGAGTTATAAGGTTATTTAAAAAAAAAACACATACAGACAGACAGACGGAAAACGAGGCTCCGGCGACCCATGTTTATGATGTAAAATATTCATGTATTAACCCAAGGAATAATCCTGTGAATTTTTTCGAGAGAGTTAACAAACTATTTAGATTTTGAATCAGCTGTTAAGTGTAAAATTAATAGCGTTCAAAAACCATACCTAACCAAACATTTTCAACATGGTGATGAAAAATGTCTGCTCTTTCAGGAAATCATGTTGATTTCAAATTTCTCTAGTTAACATAAAAAATATACGGTGATATGGTAATGGTAACTCAATAGGAAACAAATTTGTAACTGAGGCCTAAATAACAAAGCGGCGTGAGACATGACATTTAGGATAGGCTAGGGCTGTATGGTTAAATAAAGTAGTGAACTTTGATCCAACAACAAAATAACGAAAATGGCCGTACTTACTAAAGTAGACTTTGTAATCGATGGAATTCGGTGCTCCTCTCTCAACGATTTGATAAGACATTTTGCGGATAAAAGTGGAGGTTGGCAAATACGAACAATATTGTTTATTTCCGAGCCGGGAAGATGAGATGAAAGATCTGCAATAGATCGAGAGGGTGCTGGCAGCTGTTTTTATCGCGGCATACATGATAGTTGAAACAGTGGTACCACTGCCGCTCATGCTTAACCCAAAATTACCCTTCCCATTCTAAAGAGGCATCGATTAAAGACTACTCTTGGGAGCAGATATTAGCTTCATCATAAATAGCTCCCTCATTAAGGTAGAGCAGTATATTTGTCATCCTTAAGGATTGGCTGAAGAAAATTGTAATTTTAGTTCCACCCAGTGTTCTTAGGGGAGTGTTTTGTTTACAATTTGTTTCTTGTTATTTCAGTAATTTAAACCCAATATTAACCAAATAAAAAAATGGAATCTTAAACCACGGTAGCATGTGGCATGGTAGAATGAAAACACATATGTGTGCTATTCCCGCCATATGCTGACGTCAGCCTATGACGTACAATGCCCTTCCAACTGACCTCAAATCAGTAAACCTCTCTAGGTTTAAAAGGGGTTTGAAAGGTGTATTTTATACCAATTAATTACCCAGTTGATCTAAAATGTATTGTTGCAATAAGTCTAGTATAAGCTGATTAATTACGTTTAGTTTGACAACAGTTGTATTGAAAAACAAAGAACCGTTCTTTGAATAACGCTGGCTAAATAAAGACGTTTTTCATTTCATTTCAGCCTGCAATCGCCATTTCACTATGTAGAAAAATTTATAAAAATAATAACAATCAAACCAAAACAAATATACTATATTTTTTTGCAATCTGGGTGACGTCAGCATATGAGAGGAATAGCACACCTATATTTTTTCCTTCCACCATGATCTTAAACGGTAGCGTTCCCTGGCTATATATCCAAAAACTCGCCTTTGGCTCGCTGGGCTTCCGCAGACGACTGCATACGGAACGGATACAATAAGAACTCCGCATAGTTGATCACTGGTGCCAGATGAAACTGAACATCAAGAAGTGTCAAGTGATATCCTTTCCACCGTTGTCATTCTTCTATAACATTTGACTACACAGTACCCTAACTCGAGTTCAGGAGGTATGTGACCTAGGTGTCATTTTTGACACCCTCACTAAGACATGAGTCCCACGTAACTCACATCTGCAGAGGAACAAATAGAATGTTTGGCTTTGTCTTCCACTATTCGAGACATTTTAGTGATATGTTGGCTCTGAAGGCCTTGTACTGTGCATTTGGTGCACGTACCAGATTCTGAAGTATGCCTCACCAGTGTGGAGCCCTATCTAATTGAAGATCATTCAGATTGATTGATTGATTGAATTGATTGAAGTATTGAAGAAGATTCATAAGAATATGGTTAGTGTCAGGAACGGATTTCTTTATCGGCACGTTCCAACTGAAGACAGTTCTCGGGATCTGGGGCTCCAGTCTCTTGCAAGCCGTCGATTTTCTGCCGACATTGTGCTGCTACACAAGATCCTCAATGGCAAGGTTGACTGTTCTGACATCCTGCGCTTGGTATTATTCAAGTCACCATCATCTACCCGATCCAGCGACCTGTTCGTGAGGCAATACAACCCAACCGCACAAACTATGCATCAAATAAAATAGTACGATGTCTCGCCTTCAAAGATTTGGCAACTTCTTCTGCGACAGTGTGGCGGCTTTCAGGAGTAGTATTGATAGTCTTCATGCGCAGGAACGACTTAACCTATTGTTATCGCCTTTATACAACTAATGCTTTCAATAATAGAATATTTCAATATTGTACTATTCAATATTGGGCTGGACCGGGGGAGTTGCTACAGAGAATTACGTTTGAGGGTAAGCCTTCGGCTGGACCGGGGGGCGTTGCCACAACGACTCTCCCCCACTCCACTTAGGTTGAGAGAGGGGTGGTCGGCCGTGACGTCACATTTCGGAAGTCTGTGTCGTCGGGAGTCTGCGTCGTCGGGAGCCCGTGGCGCGTTCCCGTCATTATGAGAATCCTAAATTGCATTGTATATTTTATCTACACGTTGTGAAGTATAGTGAAGTATTGAATTATTTTTCTTCTTTTTTTCGTGTAAAAGGAATGTTTTTATTTTTCTGTGAGACGCAATCTATCCCCATTCTGGGTAAAATATGAAGAAGGAGTAAATAAGTAAGTATCACTAACTTAAAACCAAAACAAAACTAATTTGTTATTGTGTTCAGTTCACAGCTGTGACTGTAGGCTATTCTACCACTGAGCTAATTTTGACATGCAGTGCTACCAACGAGGCAAAATCAAATACTGTATATTGTTTTAACTAAAGAATAAGCGATACTATAATAATCTATGAGTAATCTTACTGATCTAAAGTCATTGTGTGCTAGCATAGACTAACCAACACAAGTAGACTTCTCATCCCATTGTAAATTTTGAAGCACGTTCTTCGTGTCTAGTTCATGTACGTGACACAAAGGCGCCAGTGTCGATGAAACTTTGTTTCCATTATTTTAGGGTTAATTTCTTGATTTGTGCTTTACTGTTTGGTTATATAACCAGGGGGCAAGTTATTGTTTATGATTAGATCGTATTATTTGGTTAAACGAGGTTTTAAATGGCTGTAATAACGGGAAACAAATTGTAAACAAAACACGACCTCTACATAAACCGTACATGAACTAACAATAATATTGTCTTCAGCTGTTCCATAAGGATGAGAAATCTACTAAGGGAGTATGTTTTATCTATGGTGCTAGTGTGTATGAAGCAGCCCAAATTGTCTTCGAAACATAATTGTCATCCATTTACAAAAAAATATATAACTCAATTTCTACTGAATATATTTGAATGTTTTAGGTCTCAAATTAACAGAAATGAGCAGGGGAACAATATCAGTAATACAAAAATTGATTTTTTTTTGCCCAGGGGGTCAACCGACTCCCCGTAACTGTTTTCTATTTTCTGAAGTGATTTGGTGTCTGTGACCATGGTCTGTGATAGCATTAAAAAATAACTTTTAGGGTATACTATATTAGGGTAATTAAACCAAGCCCTGGGGGTAAAATCACATCATGAGGTGGCAACACTGCTGTTCAGTCAGTGCAGTGCAGTGGCAGCTGTGTTGTGTCTGTGTGTGTGTGTGTGTGTTGTTGTTGTTGCCTGTTGGTTGTAGTGGGTATTTACTCAGGGGAGGTATAGAAGAGGCTACGATGACAGCTAGTGGGCTTCTTATTAGCTGAGGGAACGCCATTATCGTAACAAAACGATGTATAGCATAGACGTCGGCCTCAGTGGTCTAATGGTTATCGTGCCGGGCCTGTACGCTGAAGGCCCGGGTTCAAATCCCGCTGGTGACATTTACTTTTTGTCCAAAGATTTTTTTATTATCAGCAAGTTTGGTTGGTTTGGTTCGGTTATGACAGTTTAATTTTATTATTAAGTCATTATAAAATTTTATTTGAGCAATTTCTAGTTTTATTTAATAAACAGAATTATTTTTTCTATTACTGTACTAAACTTTTGTTATATTATTTCATTATCAGCAAGTTTGGTTAGTTCGGTTAGGTTATGATAGTTTAATTTTATAATTAAAAAATAATAAAATTGAATTTGAGGCATTTATAATTTAATTTTATGAACAGAACTATTTTTGCGATTAGTAGGCCTAAACCTTAATTGCCAATGCACTCTCTACTACAGCGCTGTTCACGGAGGAATTTTGAACTAATGCCTCATTCGTACCTCCCCTAAGTCAGACCCGTTGTAGTGTAAGTGTAGGTAGACTGTATTTTGTTTAGGTAGAGTTAGTTTGTAGGTTAAGTAGTTAACTGCCAAGAGTGCCAAGCCAAGTGCCTAATGGCCGGCTCGAGTTCTGGAAAATGTCGCGAGCTTATTTGTATAACCTAGCTATATTGTAAACATTACAATTTAAATTAATTCTAAAATTATAAAGGATGTGACACTTAAATCAAAGGTTTTCTTCGAAATGTAATTGGTTTAAGTTCAAGCTTAACAGTCTTAGTCTAGCCTTGACCCACCATCAGCGTTTATAATTTCTTGTTCTTGAGCCTTATAGAAAATGGCTTTCAACTATACAGTATCTCCTAAGGTGTTCAAAGCTCTGCAAACTGTTGACATCGAACAGCTATCAAAGTGTACAGCTAAAGAAATAAGGCCAATTTTACCATGTCTAGTTCGCATGAGTTTAATATCACCTATGGATTCAACAAAAAAATGCACAGATGGAAGAAAGCAAATACTAACAATTCTATCTGGAATAGAATTAGTAAATACCATCGTGGCTTTACTTTCCATAGACTTTCATGGTTTGGAATTAGATGTAAAAAAGGAACAAATGTTGAGGTAAGAATTTGACTTTGCTGTACCTACCTATTTTGTATCCATACTTGGGAATAACGGTTGAATAGAAATTCTAACAAATAGCAATATTCGTTAGTTTTTTCGACTAACTTCTATTTTATTCGTTCGTTTTTTAAAAGTGCTAGAAAAATCTTCTACTTACTCAGTTAGCCTAGATTTATAGCTAGGCCTACTTACTTTCTGTAGCCTATCCGGAAATCAGACTTCGCTTTTCAAAAAATTAGCTACAGATATGGCTTTGTCATTCGCATGTAAAAGATCATCTAATGTGCAAGACTGGTCTAGGCGTGTGCAGATCAGCAGATGGCCAGGATCCTGAACAGCACCACATGCGCACAAGATGTTTTCTTCGTTTGGTAAGAGACCCCATTTCTGCATGTTTGTCTTGCATTTTGGTACCTCGACCCTAATTCGATTTAGGGTCTTCCACACCGTGTAATGAAGGCCTCCACCAGGAGCCAGTTCCTCCCTGGCTGGTATGGGATGGTTAGTCAACGTGGCCTCCCACCTTGCCACCCGATTGCTTGAGAGTGATCCATCCAGGGCTCGTTCCGTGATAAAAAGCTCTTTCTGGACCGAAGCTGTCGCTCTGCAGGTTGGTGGCCGTGTAATGGGCGACGAGGGTCTGTCTCTTGCTTAACTTAGCCTAGTTCTTTCTGCGTCGGCAGCGACATCACGTCGGATTGATGGAGGGGCGATCCCTATGATAGGATAGAGTTTGTGTACTGGGGTTGGTTTCAAACACCCAGTTACAATCCGAGCCATGTCATTGACTGCAATGTCAACCTTTTTTGCATGTGACGATGCATTCCATACTGGTGCAGCGTACTACGCAGCCGACACACTGAGCGCTAAAGCTGAGGTTCTGAGGACATTAGGGTTAGCACCCCAGCATCTGCTGGTGAGCTTCCTGATGATATTATTCCTCGCTGACTCTTGTCGCAATACAATGCGCCTTAAATGTCAGTGTGCGGTCCAGTATGACACCAAGATATTTGGGTGTAGGACAATGCTGAATACGGTCTCCCCGCCACCTCACATTCAACTCACGGCCTGCTTCTCTATTGTTTCAAAGGTAAAAGGCACAAACTTGGGTCTTAGCAGGGTTCGGCTTGAGGTGATTTGTGTCATAGTACTGGGAAAGTTCATTTAGAGTCATAGTCAGCTTCTGTTCCACCTCTTCAAAACCCCTACCTTGTGCCGCCACCGCCGTATCATCGGCATATATATACTGACGTGTAGCGTTTGGCAACGGTTGGTCGTTAGTGTAAATGTTATAAAGAGCTGGGGCTAAGACGCTACCCTGAGGCAATCCATTTCTTTGATTCCTCCATCTACTTTTCTTGCCTTGAAGGGACACGAAAAACCGCCTGTTATGAAGAAAAGTGCCTATCATTGAAGTCAGCTGATAGTCTTTGGTAATACTGTACACTTTTCCCAAGAGTCTTCAATGGTTTATGGTGTCGTAGGCAGCTGTTAAATCTACAAAAGCGACACCCGTGATCTGTTTTCTCTCAAACCCATCCTCAATGTGCTGGGTCAGGTTTAAAACTTGACCACAACAAGACTTGCCTGATTGAAAGCCTGCCTGTTGTCGAATGATCTTTTGTTCCAGAAAATCACCAATTCGATTGAGTATTAGACGTTCTAATATTTTATATGTGTGGCATAAGAGGGAAACAGGACTAAAGTTCTTAGGATCGTTTGGATCTTTCCCAGGTTTGAGCAGTGCAGCCACACGAGCTTTCCTCCATGCATTTGGCTTACGCACATGTTCATGAGGCTCAACAGTCATTGCATGGCATTTTTACCTAGGTTCTTTAGTTGTTCAACTCTGATCTCGTCAATACCTGGAGCTCTATTAGTCTTTAAGCTGGTAATGACTGCAGTTAGCTCGGACATGGTGAATGGTTCTTCCAGGATTTATAGCTAACGAATAGATAATATATTCGTTAGTTTTAAATCGTTACATTTTTGGTCAGGCCATATCTCAAATACGGGTTATTTATTTTATGTGATCAGTGAGGGTTACGTGCCCGTGAGAGGTCAGCGCCCTTGTTGACAAACAATGCGGGGGATGGGGAAAGAGAAAGTCAAAGTCCAGTTGCCTAAGCACCGAGGGGTGGGAAGGGGGAATGTTTGTTTGGTGATTATAATCTCAAGTGTTAAAACATTGTCTTCAGTTGATGTTTATTATCTGACTGTGACAAGTTTTAAGTAATTTGTTTCTGTTGTAGTAATGTAACATGTGACAATGTTTGATTCGTGCGGGCATCGTCAAAAACTACAAAATGTCCTAGGCCTTCAATATCAGTGTATAATGTTTTGTGCTAAAACACTTACTGTAATGTTTTTGATCAATTGTAATTATCACTTTGGTTAAATTTAGTAATACACCATACAATCCAAATGTATTATATAAGCAATGCTCAATAGCATTCATAGAAATGTCACTTTCCTTTGTACTGTATTTTGTTATTTTTGCTACTGGTAGATGATTTGTTTCAAGCTTATGTTACAATCCATTTGTTTACATTTTTGTGGGCCTAACACTGTCATAGCTACTTCTTGACACTCCATAAGACTAAATTGTTAAAAATTGTAAAGATAGAATAAAACGAATTCTTCTAAGAACTTTTATTCAACATTCAACTAACTTAACAACTCACTTCCAGAACAAGTCAACAACATCGTAACCCCTGGTAACCCTAGTCATATGAGTAAACATACAAATAATTACTAAATCACATGTCATTCCATTACATCCTCTCTCCCATGATAAAATGTTAAAACTGATACCGCAATGTAGGTTTAACTTCTCTTCCGGTCCTAGTGAAATACCGTCCATTAACTTTTCTGCCTCTTTCCCATTCCACTCTATTTTCTTCTTTCTTTCCATTAGAAGTTTCTGTGTTTTCGCTCTCTTTTCCGTTGCTAAGGCTATCTTCTCTCTCTTGACAAATATTAGGGGTTCATTCATCCGGGTAACGATCCCATGAATCATACATGCTGATATATGATTGTTTACATGTCGGGATAAGAAACCTCCTGTTTCTTCTTAAACAATTTCCATTAGACTTCACTATGTATTCTCTATCATTGGAACCTCTATCTACTATAGTCCCGTACCGCTTCAAATCAGTTATCCATACATTAATCCCCTTTTCCAATATGTCGAGATTTCTAGCTCTGTGCCTACGATCATAGTAAATTTTGTTCTTTTGATTCTGTTTTCCTTGGTCATTTCGATACTGATCTAGATCAGGCCAACGAGGTTGAAGCTGCTCTGGAACTGACGGAAGAGTTGTGCGTATTTTCCGTCCAAAAATCAATTCTGCAGGTGATACTCCACATGCAAGAGGAGAAGAGCGATGTGCTAAAAGACCAAGATATGGATCTTTATTCCTCTTTAATATCCCTTTACATGTCTCAACCGCTCTCTCAGCTTGCCCATTAGACTGAGGGAAGTGAGGGCTTGAGGTCTCTATAGTGAAACCCAATTCTTTTGCAAACGCTCTCATATCTGAAGAGACTAAAGCAGTTCCATTATCAGACCTTACAACACGTGGAATCCCATGTCTGGAAAATATTGACAAATAAGCTTGTTTTATAGCAACCGTATTAATACTGGCTAATGACAACAATTCAATATATTTTGAAAAATAGTCTTGCATGCAAATATATACTTTTCGATTATACACGAATAAATCTGTCCCAACAACTTCCCAGGGTTGATTAGGAACCACAGACGTGATCAATGGTTCAGCAGGATTAACCCGATTCTCCAAGCAACTAGAGCAGTTCTCAACCATTCTCTTTATAACCACCGATAGTCCAGGCCACCAAACTGTGTCCCTTGAACGAGCCAGACACTTATTTACTCCTAGATGTCCACTATGTATCTGGGATAAAATCTCATTTCTTAAAGGTTTTGGAATAAATATCCTTAATCCTTTTAAAATCAGTCCATTAACAAAAGACAAATTCCCTCGTTCTCTGAAAAATTCTGTATTCTTTAAGTCCGTCCACTCACCTGATTCTATTGCTTTTCTCAACATGTTACATATAACATCTTCTTTCACACTTTGACGAATTATTTCTAATCTACTGTCTGAGCAAGGTAATGTAGACACAACTGAATTAACAAACACCTCAACATCTTCATCTAGTACGTATCACTTTCCACAGTTGAAACAGTCTGCAATGGTGCCCTAGACAGTGCATCAGGAACAAAGAAGCTTTTTCCTGTTTCATATCTCATTTCATAATCAAAAGGCATGAGTCTCATTCTGAATCTCTGCAACCGAGGTGTCAGGTCACACAAAGACTTTTGTCCTAAAATTTGGATAAGGGGCTTGTGATCAGTAACCAGTTCAAATTTCTTTCCCAAAATGAAAGAACAGAATTTCTCACAAGCCCAAGTTAGGGAAAGAGCCTCCTTTTCAATTTGAGCATACCGAGATTCTGTGTTAGTCATAGTTCTTGATGCATATTGTATTGGCTTCCATTGACCATCCACATTTTGTTCCAAAATGGCTCCAAGTCCGAATTTCGATGCATCTGCACACACTCTAGTTTTCCTCTCAGGATTATACAAATGTAAAACGGGAGCCTGAATCAATGCCTCCTTTATCTGCTTGAACTGTTTCTCATGAAGATCGGACCAGTACCATTCATTTCTTTTTGAAAGGAGATCATTTAATGGCTTGGTCAGTTCTGAAAGGTTGGGAAGAAACTTCATTAAATAGTTTACCATTCCAAGAAAACGTTTCAACTCGGTTTGATTTTTTGGAACAGGATACTTCTCCACAGCCAAGGTCTTTTCTGAGTCTGGCATAAGCTGGCCATTTTCAATAAAATGTCCCAAGAAAGTTATCTTTGTCTTTTCAAACACGCACTTCTCCCGATTCAAAGTGATACACGTTTCACATAGACGAGAGAGAACACAGTTAAGTCTTTTGTCGTGTTCTTCCTTCGTACTA